GAAATAGCAGCACTGTCACTTTGGACTAAAATAAACTTTGCATCATTTCAAACACAGCTAAGATCATGTGTTTAGTGTGTAAACGGTCTCTCAATTTGTCAGAAGCTCTGTTTTAAAACCAGTGGAAATAGAGCCCCGCTATAATGAAATGATTCTACTGATTTATAACAATATATAGGCTCCTTTTTTTTTTTTTTTTACCTGAGACTCTGGACTTTTGTCCATGGATGCTTTTTTCCTTTGTGATCTGATTGGTCAGAGGTCGGGGTGTTGACAGCCTGTGATCTGATACTCTGAAGTTACCCCGGTGATTTAACCCAGTAAAAAGAGAACCAGCCTCACAGTGCTGAAAATCCAGAGTTAACCCTGAAGTTACCTCGCTAACTCCAAATCCTGCTTCGTAGCACAGGCCTCAGGTCTGTCATGTTTTTCCACCTCTGCAAAGCCAGCCTGTGTTAACCACAATGGAACAGTCACAAACTTATAGAAAACAAACAAGCAACTAACTTTTTCTTGATGATCTTTTAATTAATGACTCTGAAAAATGTGAAAAACTGACGTAATAATCCACAAGAAGGTGTGTGACACAGGATTCTCAAGCAAACACCCATCATGATTTATCCCTTAAACATGTACAGATAGAGCACAGCTCATGAGCATACAGCCCTTTTTTCAGAATATATCCTAAATAGGCAGTGACTGCAGTACAGCGTACGGGTGGGACTAAACAACACCCCAAAAGAAGATCCCATCACTGTCACAAACTGACACACATACCAACATGCTTATGTTATTCCATTTCTATTCCTCTTGACATCATTGGACCTGATTGACATGTTCTCCCACCAGCGATGCTGAAAGTGAGACATATCAATAAATGCAGACTGAAGATAAGTCCGCTGACTGCAGAGGAAGGTATGTGTAAAGCCTTACTCACTGCTTTGTCGGGGTGAGCTCACCTCACCTGTGAAAGTGTGCACAAAGGGCACACCTGGCTGTCGGCACAGTGTGTATACAGTGTGCAGCCAGCGTGACTCTTATCTCTGCTGTCCCTGACCAGAGGTGAAAAATGTGCTTTTACTTTGTGAGGAAAGGAGCAGATTCGCCTTGTACATATAATATTTGTAATTTATTTTGTCATTTTACAATTTTACAGTATTGGTTTTATTTGTACAAATAATAAAAATAGTATGAAGTGATGGAAGGAAGAATACACAGCAAGGTCACTGGTTCACACATGTGCTGCTCAAACAAAACTCCACATCTTGCACAAATGTATCAAAAGGAGCATTTCCAGTTTAAACAGCCGGCAGCCAAGAACAGGACGGGCTCCATTTTCTGGATGGATTTCTTAAATCTCTTTACAAGGGCTTGATCTCGTCACGCCACAGGGTTTGATTGTTTGAGGCCGTCCTGAATTGACCAGTTTCTGTAAACAGCCCCGGTTAGCACCCTGAAAATACTTTTAAGTCTCTCCCTATTACCTGCTGAACTTTATCCAACTTAAAATGCTGGAATGTTGTGTTAGCTGCCAGGAGAGCGGCATGATGAAAACACCCAGACAGGTCTCAGCCTGAGCCTGTTTGCAGCCATTTCAATATTTTACTCTGTAACATAATGAAAAAAAATAATAACCAGTATGTTTGTCTTGGAATTTAAGCAACCATGAAACATTTCCTCTGGTAACACAAGAGTAGCATCCAATGCTCTTACATAACTCCACTGATTGCCACTTACATGACCCACCCCAAAACAATGTATTGCCGTTCTTAACATCATGAAATGGCTGCAGTTTTGCCAAAAACTATGTGGATAGGTTTTGGAAAAACATCATGGTTTGGCATTAATAATTACTCACATACGTCACGTCACATGTCACTAACGTAGCATGCTACACATACTAGCATACTAGGCTATGTTGTTCTTAAAAGTCAACGCAAACTTTTTTTTTTTTTTTTAATTTATTTTATAAACTTTATTAATCCCCGAGGGGAAATTCAATTTTTTCACTCTGTTGTCAATTACACACAGGTCCGAACACACACACACACACACACACACACACACACACACACACACAGGTCTGAACACACACACATGCACAAACAGGACCTATACATGTACTAAGTGGAGAGATGTCAGAGTGGGGCTGCCCATGACAGGCGCTCTGAGCAGTGGGGGGGTTCGGTGCCTTGCTCAAGGGCACCTCGGCAGTGCCCAGGAGGTGAACTGGCACCTCTTCAGCCACCAGTTCACACTCCATATTTTGAACAGGCGACCCTCCGGTTCCCAACCCAAGTCCCTATAGACTGAGCTACTGCCGCTCAGGATGTAACACCAGTCTCCTGGGTGAAAGTCCTGTGTTTGTTCGACCAATTCACCACACACCCCACCCACCCTATAACAGGACCCCAGGAAGTGCACTATGAAAACTGGCTTTGAAAAACTGGCTTCAAAGCCAGTTTTCATAGTAGCCAAACAGTGGAATTACAACTTCAGAGCCAGTCACATAATGGGCCCGAAACAACTTTTCCTCATAGACTCACATTTAAAAGAGATGTCTGTAAATCAGTAGATAAATTTTTTGAGCATCAAAACCCCTGCGAAATGATTCGTTTTACTATCAGGATTTGATCCAGTCAGTCCCATAACATTTGGAAAGTCTTGAAGGGTTGCAAGAGTGCTATGGGCCCAATTATGCGGAGGCAGCACCCATCGTCAGGGTAGTTTCATAGGCAGCAGTTGAACCATTTTGACTGAATGCACCACTTAGCAACTTTCATAGGAATGAACGGGGGCCCGTCTCCAACACTCCAACACAGCCATGCCTTATAGGGGTTTCTTCGATACAACATGCTGCTTTTTATGCTACACACATCACTTTCTCCTTTGCTCCTGTAATAACTACTATGGCCACTAGACGCTGCTGGATTAACGTAAATTTAAGTATGGGTGGTAATAGGCGGCTCACGCAGTCAACCGATTGTCGTTTTTTTTTTTTTTTCTTTTTTCAGTGAGAGTGGGCTATGATAACAGTAAACCATTTGAGACCTGAGCAAATTGGCTTGATTTCTTTTAAAAACATGGGAAGAAGGCAATGAGCAATGAAAGAAGAAATGAGGCCCAAAAAATTAGCAAGAAATTAGAAAAAAGAGAAAATTAATAACAGGAAAATCAGAGAAAAAAACTAACAAGGAAATGACCTGGGAAGAGTGCTTAAAAACTATAGTAATTCTATAACAGAATTTTAAAATGTAATAATAATTTATAAGTATAGTTTTTCTCAAGTTTTTTTTCCCTAGTTTTTTTTTTTTTTTTTTTTTAAATGATTTTAATTTTTTTAATTTTGTTTTTTATTTGTGGGACATCTCTTACCAAGTTGCTCATTGTGTCTTTTCTCATGTATCTGAAAGAAATCATCCCAATTTGCTCAGGATTCAAAGGTTTAAATCCGTGGGTAAGGCGTCTTTAAAGGGGCAAAAAGCGAAATCGTTTCACCGCTAGGTTTGCTGTTGTGCACTGCCTGTAGAACAAAACAAAGTATGTCATGAGCCACTTCTCCCTCTACCTCTGCTCTCCACCCCCCACCCCACTCACCTCGTGAGTGGGGTGGGGGGTGGAGAGCTCACGCAGAGTAGGGACGTTAGTGTTAGCTCCTGGAGTTAGTACCAGAGCTACTACGGCTACTGGAGTAACTTACAGCTATGGAGCGCTTCTACCAGCTCTTCTAGTCACTGAGCCTCGCCTCTATCTCAGCAAATATATTACATTTATTACAGGTACCATCATCATTGAAGTAGGCAGGGGAATAGCTAAACACAGCCCACCAGGCTGCCCGCCGGGCTACATTTTACAATGCTAATTGCAAATGTTAGCTGGGCTGCCAGGCTACTCACCTAACACAACCGTAACGCCTGACCCATTGCTGGGAACGAGCCGCTAATAACTCAAGCTCCAGACATTAACCCATGCTATGATTGTAACATTAAATTTAATTGAATCGACATAGCGACATGTGCCTAATGTTACTGTAACACTAATTAAAACAGACATTTGACTCTGCCATTTCACTTCGAAAATACGCGCTGCCATTGTTCACTGGCTGTAGCCTTTTATAGGGAGGGAGGGCCAAGGGCTCTGAGAGGAGGGGGGAGGTGGGGATTCACATGAACGTACATGAACGCGCAGCCGGACCGGCTTGTAAACAAGGGGCTGGAGATCAACACAGAGAGAGGGTGTGTGAAGTCATGCTATACTCCAGATGAAATTACACCTCTAGTTCTTCACATAGCAATTTTTTAATTCCCTCAATCTAGAAATTATGAATTTCGCTTATTGCTCCTTTAAGACGCACAAAAAAAGTGATATCACTATAGGTTTCAATAGGTTAAAGTTTTATAGTTTGAGTTCGATAAGAAAATTGCTACCAGTCTTTGTTTCAATAATGCATTAGAATTTTCTCTTTAGGTCTATGCCTTTACTAAAGCATTGCACATATTCAATGGGAAGAACAATGCTAATTCTAATTTTGTATTTAAAGATTAATTGGATGCTGTGCTGTCAGCCTCCCCTTATCTGAAACGAGGTAAAGGAGTAGCCTGTGATTCGAAAAGGCTATCAAATTATGTTTATGTTCAATAGTCTTTGGCCTATGTGGAAAAAAAAATGCCTTGTCATGTATGCATTATGTATCTCAGATTCTACTATGAACTGTACATGCTGTTAAACTGATCTGCAGTGAGTAAAACCTTTGGAATTTCAATTGTCTTTATCAACATCTATTTAACAGATAAAAGGTCTGTGTGGTCAAAAGTTGAGAAACTAGATCATGACAGAGGAATTCCATGAAAGGAAAGCTTCGAGGCCCTTCCTTCAGTGCAACAGTTCTTTGAGGGCAGGACATAAACTGAGGCGCTTCATTTCATTGGCTAAACTCCACCCACATGACGTCCCAGAAGGTTCAGCCTCATTTCTAAACTCTGCACATAAGCTCCAGAGAGAGCAGAGGCAGACCAGAACTGCAGTCCTCTTGTTCTTTTTCTGTCGATGATTTGATGAAATATATGGAAGTTTCCAGTCTGTGAGTATATTTTGCTTTGAAAAGTCTGCTTTCCTTTTGTATTGTATTTGATTTTTGTCAAATTCAGTGAGAAGTTTTACTTATTTATAAAACCTGATTTCTGCTTACAGATGATGCTGAATGTGCTGCGGCCCTCTGGCAAAGACAACAGACTGATTCAGTGCAACATTTAGAGTCTGAAAATGAATTGTGCAAGGTAAGCTTCTTTGCTTTCACTGAACTCCTTTACTGCAGTTGTGCTTTTAATAAAAATATTACGTTACATGCAGAAATATGCTGAAAGAGAAATATGTGAAACCGCTCCTTGTAATGTTGGATCTTATTCTGATCATCTTCTTTCTCAGAGTTCTGCACGCCTTAGGAAGTCACTCCCAGCCAGCCGTGATGCCAGTTGACATCGCCATGTGTCTGAGCCTCAGCCAGCGTCAACCTCTTTATGAACTGCTGTCCATGTCTCCTCTGAAACCCACACAGCGTCGTTATCAGCCAACCAACTGCCCGCCGAGGACCAGCCTTCACCCTCCGCATCCCTCCTCCTCTTCCCCCTTCTCTTCATCCACACTGCCGCCCTCCTCACCCCTGCCATCGGAGCCTCGGAGCTGCTTCCGCAGGGACAGCGCCGGTCTGAACAAGAAGCGTGTAGTCTTTGCAGATGCCAAGGGATTGGCTCTCACCGCCGTGCGGCTATTTATTCCTGAGCCCTCTTCCCCTGCTTCTACTCTGATGATGAAACCCTCTTTGGCCAAACTGCAAGGCCAACAGCCAACCTCAAACAAACTGCAGCGCTACAAGTTGCGGCTGGCTTTCCCTCAGCCAACGCTGGACGTTAAAGTCTTCCTCGCACGTCTGCGAGAGATGCATGTGCAGCTGGAGAGCTGCAACATTTCAGAGCACTCCTTGAGCGGCACAGTGCGTGTCTCCCACGTAGGAACTGACAAGGCTGTGCATGTTCGGGTGACCTTTGACTCTTGGAGGAGTCAACATGACATTCCCTGCACGTTCCTGCAGCAGCATCGCTTTGGGGGTTCTGACATGGATGTTTTTACCTTTGACTTAAGTTTACCAAAGAACATAGATCCAAAGGAGCGAGTGGAGTTTTGCGTGTCCTTCAGGCCTGGACCTGGAGCAGTGCCACACTGGGACAACAACAGAGGGCAGAATTACAGGGTGTGTGTGGAAACAGATGGATCAAATGGTTACCAAGCCGATGCTTACTGTTGGTACCCCACACTCTCACAACATCGGCCGCCATCGTGGCCTTCGCATGTGTCCCTCAGTATGCAGAACTCTGCTGATGTGCAGCATCTTCAGAGGAGTTTATCAAACAGAGTCAGAGCAGAGTGTAAAACTCTCTGCTCGACGAAGAAGAACAGTGACATTGGCCCACACCCTCTCAAACGAGCTGTGCATATGTAAATAATGTCTAAATTAAGTAATATTTATTAGAAAGTAAAGGCTTTTAGGAATGTAAGGACTCTCTGAGATCTCCAGTGTTGGATGGTCCAAAGCCCACTGTTCAAAAACAGCTTACCCACCTGAGCTTAGCTACCCTGCTGAAATGTGAATAATACATGCTGCATTAATGTTCTCATTAAATCCATGTTTTTAAAAGAAGCTATTCTTTCTCTTTCTTCCCTGTGCAGAAGTTAAATCCAAATCATTTAACACATGTCCTTTTAGAAATGCAGCTTAAAGTGTACAGTGTGTTTTTGTGCACTGTAGCATGACACATAAACCCTGATTAGACACAAGAGGCCCTGGATTGAAAACATGAGACCTGTGTTTGTCCAAGGGAAGTACACAAGGAGATTATTTTATTGTAAGAACCTTTTGGGCTTATAACTATCAACCCATTTTCTCCAGATGAATGTCATATGATGTACTTTCACACAGACATTATTACTCTTGGCTCGGGTTCAGGTTTCCGGTGTGTCTTTTAATATGGTACGTCATGCATACCAGACAAAGTAAGTCAACAAACTGAAGGATCTTCCTGGCACAGGGGGGTTTTGCACGGGGCAGCCTGTTCTAGACACTCCCCTACGTGCTGTGAGAGCTGGAATAACACGCTGGGAATTGTTCCTTCTTGTTCTGTTCATGATTTGGTATGACAAATAGCAGGTAACCATGGCAGCACCAGAACCAGTGTACATTTTGGATAATACCCGGGCCTGTGTTTACAGGCACAGGGTGGAGTCAAAATTAGATACTGTGGCAGCCGCAGTGAGATAGTCTCTCTGTCTGCTTCTCTTGTTCCTCCTTCTTAGTCACCTTTCTGTTAGACCTGTTTCTTTGTCCTTCACTTTCCTTTCTCTCAAAACTCATGTCTTCCCAGGACCACCGCCTTTGAATTGTCATCCGCTGGAATGCTGCATGTGAGCAGTTTGCACATGGAGCAGGTTTACACACCTTCTACCCTAAAGCACTTATTATTTATGAGGCTAACTGGTGTTGGTCAGGTGTCAGGTGTTAGAGCTCTCCCCTCTTAGCACCCAGGAAGTAACAACAACAATAAGCTACATAAAAAGCTTTCAAGTTTTTATGCCAGGTTTTCATAAACTAGCTGTAACCAATGCTTTACCAACAGAGATGACTTACTTCGGCAGCCCATTATCTGAATTGAAATCATGCACCATTCACATGTTAAGTCTGTCATTCTAAAGCTTTAATTATTCTGGGCATCTCATTGAGATCGGCATCTCAGCAGACACCTGAGAGCTAATAATTACATATATACAGTACAACAACAGCTCAGTCACACAAAGCACAAAAGCTGAAATAGAAATGTGCTGATAGCCTCATTAAGGCGCGTAGCAGCTAACCACAACATATTTTCTAGCCGAGGACTTTCCCATCTACTCTTTGTACCGTCCTTTCTCATAAGGAAGATGACTTGAGTAATCACTAAAATCCCTTGAGGGAATATGTGTGTCAAGCCCCAGTTATTTTGGCAGTTAATTACAGTAGAGCAATAACCTGCAAACACCTGTATTTCCCATTAGCCTACATCACTGTGGGTTTGATTCCTATCACATTGAATATTACTGTGTTATATAACATCTACATGATGAATTATTAGGGTAGGAACCAGCTCTGCTCTACATTCTCGTGTGGGAATGGGGTTAAAAAATGTTTGACATAATGATTCTTATTATATTTTATTTCGAGAGAGTACAGGGGTTTAAAGGAAATGACCACTTTAGAATGAAAATACAGACAGTACTTACTGACCCTCATGCCAACAAGAAGTCCAATGTAGTTTTTTAATCCACAAAACTTGTTCGGGGTATCGGAGGATAACAGCTAGCTGGATTTTTCCATACACTTGAAGTGCATGGAACTCACATCCAAAATCATTTTGAAAATGTAATAAAACTCCGCTAATGCATTTCAAAAACGTCAGAACGGCTCGTCCGTCGTAATCCAAGTGCCCTGAAGCCTTGACTTGAAAAGACATAATTTACTCCACTTTTATAGCATAAGTTCCATGTTTACATGGCAACTCGCAAGACTTGAGAACGAGAACGTCTCTGAACGTTCTTGAGTCTCGCGAGTTGCCATGTAAACACAGCACGCCTGCAGGCTAAGTGACCACGTTGAGAAATGATGCTATAAAAGTTGAGCAAATTATGTCTTTTCAAGTCAATGTTGCATGCCACAGCTTTCCATGCACTTCAAGTGTATGGAAAAATCCGGCTAGCTGTTATCCTCCGATACCCCGAATGAGTTTTGTGGATTAAAAAACTACACTGGACTTCTTGTCGGCATGAGGGTCAGTAAGTACTGTCTGTATTTTCATTCTAAAGTGGTCATTTCCTTTAAGGACCCTCTGAAACATATCTAAGTTGTGGGATATTGACAGCATTTTGTCAAGATAGATCTATTTATCTATCTAGAAGACATTTGAGAGGAGAAAAAAAGAGGAAAAGTTTGAATTAAGGTAAGGTAAACTTTATTTTCCCCTAAGGGAAATTCATCTTGGGCACAGTGCTAGATTTCATTGCTTCACAGGACAAGATAAAAACATCATCACAGGGACACATCATCACAATGACAGTTCTATCACATAAAACAGACATGGACTACATTTAACAATCACAACACAAAAACATACAGAGACGTCTAAAGTGCAAGAAATTCTGGACAACACTAAACAACAGCTTTTATGTTTGTTAAACTCAACATAACATCAGATTTTGAGATTAACCTCAGAAGTACAAGATCATCTATTGTCAAAGCTGGATGTAGCATGACATCCATCTACTACTGTAAAAACCGGAGCTGATCATGAACCTTTTTTAGAATGGTCATTTAAAACTGCACTGACACATGATGTCAACCTGCTAATGGGATGCCAGACTGGCAAATGCCTATGGGTCATTTGGCAAAGCACCACCAATTAACTTTTTGTTATTTTGTCTGGAAAGCTGGAGGATACTTTTCATCTTATGACGTGCTAACCGTCTTTCTCTGCAAACACTGTTTTGGCACCAAGGTGTAAGTTATGTTCACCAATTTGACAACAGATCTTCTTCCAACCATAACAACAGCAAATTAATGGCAAAAGACTGTCCTCCAAAATACAACCACATAGGTTATTTGTACAAGTGGCAATTAAGACCCATATTGACGCTTATTATGGAGCGGCGACCTCTAGTGGCCGAAGAAAATGTGACAGTGGCAAAGGGGGAAGTCAAGTGCTGTGGTATAAGGAGTGACAAAGTCTGCTTAGGACTGGGAGAGGGGTGGTGGACTGGTCAAACAAACACAGGACCTGGTGTTTGTGTCCCATTTTATTTACCTGGCTAAAAGAATTCCTGGTAATCTGTGTGGTTTGCGTTTCCACCGTACCTTAAAGTTAGCATGATGACGTAGATGATTCGGCTTGTGCCCTGTATTTAGCTCCACCAGCTTGTTGGCTGGTTACATGCCGGTGTAGAGAGTTGGGGCTGTTTGACTCAGCCAGCAGCTAAGTTTAAAAGTGTTTTAAGGTGTGAAACTAAGTTAGTCTACATACAGACAGCTGTCATTTGAGTTTATTAGTAACAATTCACTATCAGCCGAGCTAGCGTGCTGTCCTTGTGTAAGACATAACGTTAGTGAGAGACTGTGGACTGAGCATATTGACTATCGCTGTCTACATGTTTACATGTTCATGCTAATGAACACATGTATTGATAAAGCATTGGCTTCTTACTCGCTAAGGGTTAATGTCACTTACAGTAACGAGTGTAGCTGCTGTCATCTCGAGTATATACTACAGTCATTGATAATGTAGCCCCGGGGCTAATTTAGTAACAGGTTTCGGTGCCCATCCTTAATCAAAACGGCAGCTGCCCATACCAGGAAGTGCGGAACGCTGCAAGTGTGTGTTCCGCCAAACTGCATTCCTGAGCACACAACCCCGCCCCTCAAGAATTCCCTGAAATCTGAAAAGTCCTACCCCCCCACTAGGTACTTTTTTCAGGGAAAGTTTGGGGTTGAGGGAAAGGTTTTTCCCTTATCATTTTCAGGTAAATGATAAAAGTTCCTGCAGTGGAAAAGGGGCTATTGAGTATGTTACCTGACATATCAAATCAAATCAGGCTTTTATCAGGTAAAACGAAGCAGTGTTGGCATTTGGTGTATGTCACATGAGATATGTTATGTTACATTACATATGAGTGATTTGCATTAAAGGGTAGGAACATACGACCTATGTGTTCATGTGGGTTGGAGGACAAAGATCTGCACACATTTACACAAGGTATTAGGTCAGAGCAAGGCTGTCCAGGGGTCAGCGTCTATTTCTGTTCCTTGCATTTGTCATTTCTCTCATTTTATCTCTAAGCCAGCAGCAGCCACAGCTGGCTGATGGCCAGCAGCCAGCTACTCGCTGCTGGTGCTTACAGTGCTGATGCTTAGTGCTGTCTGAACAATAGCCTGAAGACTGATCCAGTGGAGCTGCAGCCACAGCTGTGATCACAATGAGCGGGCTGCTGGGAGCAAACAGTGGTGGCTAGCTGAAACCAAGACACTCGGCTGCAGTGACTGGATTTGTTTGATTCTGGTGCCCAGTATCTCAGAAGCAACCAGCATTTCACCTGCAACCAACCAGCGTTCCCAGCAATACAGAAGCAGCTGGAAATGGATTGGTTGTTACCCCAATGCTGTGTCTGTATTGTCTTTGCCAAAAGTGGCTTATGGTAGCTGATGGAAGAATTAATACATGGTGAGAGTGACCCTTCCTAGTGTCACAGAAGTAGCCATTGAGTGGTTGTTTTGCACACTGTGTACCTATATGCAGTATTACACTTACTATTTACAATAAGACCTCAGGAAGTGAGGTTAATAAATATCAAGAGAGTACGATTTTGTTCCCTAAAATGCATTTTAAAGGGAAATTTTGGTTTATTTCAACTTGTCTCCCATCATCCTAAATTTGTTTCAAGTCACTAGTGACATAGAAATAATAGTTAGCATGTTAGCTGTTAGCCTAGATACAGCCGTAGTGTCAGACCTGTTAAAACGCAAGTGAACGGGCATACTTCAAGTGCAAAGTTAGTCCTCTGAACAAGCTTTTTTTCCACAAAGACCGCCTCATATTGTTAGGATAAATGTCAGAACATATA